TTCCTGTGTATGATTCAGCTTGGTTTTTGTCAATCTTACACAGGTGTTATCATATAGACGATCATAAAACCTTATGACTTGGAGAAAATGCATCTATTATACAACTGTATAATGCATTCCCATTTCAAAAAATTTGGCCAATGTTCCTGGATTCCACAGGTATTTTTCAGGCACTGAGCTGGGTAATGAAAAATCACTCATCAGACTTCCCAGGAATAACTTCCATAAATATTCTTCTAGTCTTAAAAAAGAATTCCTCTTCCTAACACATAAGGGAGGCATGTGGGAGGATGCATATTCCTGTGCGTGCCATCGTTACCCTGCCTTTGTTCTCTAACATTGTAATATAGGCATTCATTCTTGTCAGGAGAAACCTGTTTGTAAGTGCCATTTAAATGCCTTGTAAAAGCCCATCAAATGTCATGGTTTACTCAAATGTTTCCCTACATGTAAAATAGTCCATTGGGGTTTTTTTTGTAAGGGGGGGGCGTTCTTCATTGTAAACAATACAAGAATGCATTGAACCTATTTATTACAGACTATATCTTTCATATGGTCCAAACTATGGCTCAGAAGTGGGTTCAAAGCATATGAACACTTAAAATCTATATTCTATTCTTAAAACTCAATTAATTTGTCCTATGATATTCCATATATCTGAGTAACTTTCAAAATTTCATGGTATAGCAGGTGAAATAAACTTGAGACGAAGAGAAAAGCACTGCATGACCATATCTTCATGTGGGGCCTAAGAGTGACAGATAAGGAGAGGGTGATCAAGGAAGATAGCCAGTATCAGTCCCGGACTGCATATGTACACATATGCATACCACCAACACATATACCACTCAAATGCATGCAGACATGCCCCGCACAAATACAGAAAATAAACTAAAAGGTTAAAACACTATTTCCGAAAGAAAAACAAAGACCTATAAAAGAATAAAATAGTTGAGTCATATAGTAATAATGGGCACCGAAGTCATCTCCAGCCCTTGAGATAGGCCCTCATTTGCTAAGAAACTTCCAGTTAACTCAAAGAAGTACGCAGCAGCTCTAAGACTGAGAGTAGCCAAAATACATCATGAAACCATGCGTTCTGAAGCAGTCAAATTTTGAAGAACATGTGCTCAGTTCAGAAGCAACCCTCCTCCTCACCATCAGCTCCTCTGATGTGCTTCAGCTGCCCACCAGGATGTCAAACTAGCTTGCCTTTTGACGGCTTTCAGAAGCCTCCCTTCCCGGATGCCAAAAGTCAAGCACACTCGTCCTTCCAATACAGTGGTATAATATTTATATATAGTGTACCCAGTGTTCCCTGTACTTTGAATCACCTTTATTACTTACAATCATGCTTCACTCTAGATATCATGCTATGGTGTTATTCCCGTACTCCTTATGGAATGCTGACAAGAAAAATCTACGATCAACATGTACTTTCCTCTAAGTATTTTCATTTCTTTTTCGTTTCAACTTTTTAAACTGTGTGCCTGCACAAAAGAATGTGTACTTGCATGCACACATGCGCGCGCGCGCACACACACACACACACACACACTTGAGTGTAGGTGCTGGTGGAGACTAGAAGCTGGGGTCAGATTCCCTGGTGCTTGTGTCAGAGATGGTTATGAGCCACCCAGCATGGCTGCAGGAACTGAACTCAGGTCCTCTGCGAGAGCAATGCAATCTCTTAACTCTAAAGTCCCTTTATTTTTTTTTTCTAAAGTACAACTCTATTTACTGTGGTACTATCCACTGAACTCAGGGCTTCACATGTCCTAGGCAAGAACTCTATTGTAACACTCTATCCCCAGCACAAATATTTTTGTTTTTCATTGGAAGATAGTTAATTGTATATATTTATGGATATAGTGTGACATTTTCATACACACATATAGTGCATTGTTGATCCTATCAGGATAATTGGCTTATCTGTCACCTCAGGTATTTATTCTTTCTTTATGTTGGGAATGTTCAAAAACTCTATTAGCAATTTTGAAATATTTAATTCAATTGCTGTTGGCTACAATTTCTAGTCATTCTATAGAGCATTACAAGTTATTCCTATGCCCATCTGTGGCCATAGATTTATTAATCATCTTTCCATTTCTCTCTTCTCTATACCTTCCTCGGGCTTTGGTAATCACTGTTCAGTTTTCTATTTCTTTGAGATCAGTTTTAATTAAAAAAAATATTCGTGTGGGGGTTTGTGGAGGTCAAAGGACAACTTTATGGAGTTGGTCTTTCCTTCCACGTTTCTGTGGTCTCCAGGAATTGAACTCAGGTTACTGGGATTTCATCTTTCCAGCACCTGTGGTTTTCCCTTGAGGCGGGGAGCCATCACTATGTAGCCCAGGCTGTACTGACTTTTGTAATCCTCCTGCTTCCATTATGTATCCTTGGCTGATCTCAGGCTTGTGATCCTCCTGCCTCCACCTCTAAGGTACTGAAATTATAGGCATGTGTTACCACTGCCAGCTAAGTGTTTTCCTTTTTGTTGCTAGAAATTCTAAGCAAGGTAAGGTTGTGATGGGCATTACCCTGATTGTTAGTGATTTTGAGCCATTTTTATGTACCTATTGTCCATGTGAATATCCTCTTTTGAGAAATGTCTAACTCTGGTTATGGTGGCTTTATTGTTGAGTTGTACAGTTAGTTGAATCTGTGTGTGCAGAACTCGTGGAAAATTGACTATACCTTCAAATGAGTGGATGCAGAGGCCCAGAAAAATCAGAAGTTTTTAAATACCCCCCCCCCATCCTACCACACCAAATGGCTTGGTATCTGCCCAAGGCAGTATGGCCTTTAGGACCCTAAATTTTGGTTGTCCTATATAGAAAGGGAGTCTGAGATGGTCCCCAGTTGGGGACTCCAAAGCCTTAGGATGTTGGGTGAGATAGTAAATAAAGGCCTGGCCCATCTCTGAAGCTATTTCCCTTCCAAGATCTCTAGTAGATCATGTTCTTCCTGGACTTCTGTTTCAACCTTGCTCTGATCCAGCAAGTTCCATAATGCACATTCTAGAGCAGGCTTTGTGACACCTTACCCTCAGTGAAGGCCCAGCAGGGGAAACAAGATACCGGTAGTTCTTGCCTCTCTGCCCTCTAGTGAGGAGTATGTGAGTGTTAAAGTTGGCTATTTCCTTGAGAAAAGAGAGATCTAGCTCCTTCCATGAGTCCTTCACCACAGACATGCTGACATGCCAGTGTGAACTGGGAGACTCTCATGGGACTTTATTCCTAGAAGAAGATGATTGCTGGGAGAGGGAAGACCAGTCGTCTCCAGGAACGAGCCCCTGATAAGTTAGCCAATTTCAAGAGTTCAGCCCTAAACTCATCTAAATACTAAAGCAGCTTGTACTTATAAACTTACACACACACACACACACACACTCACAAATATACACACATAGCTCAGTACATCCTTGCCCATGCTAATCTTGCCAGTTTGTGTCCTCTGAGGACTTTAAGCTGTAGTGCTGGGACCCTTGGTCACCTCATGTACACTTGCTTCTCTGCTCAGTCCCACCCTCTTCTCCTTTTTTCCTGTTCTCTTCCTTTCTCTTTCATGTTTTTAAGTGTGTGCGTGTGCACGCATGTCTCAGAGAATCACCTCAGGTGTCAGTCATTGCCTTCTACCTTGTGTAAGATAAGATTTCTTGTTCTCACGCCGTCCTCCAGCCATGCCACACTGTTATTTCCTGAGTTCAGGTGGCTCATAGACTTCTGGGGAATTCTTCTGTCTCAATCTCTACCTTAGGGGCATTGCAATTACAGATGTGTACGACTGGGCCGGGCTTTATGTGGGTTTGTAAATTTTGAACTCAAGCCCTCCTGCTTGTGTGATAAGAGCTTTAATTCAGCGAGCCATTTCCCCGGGGCACAGTCCTGCCTCTAATAGGTATGTCGTTTTATTTCCCCCAATGCCCAATTATCATGTTCCATGTGCCCCGAATTCCCCAGCCCTACTCAGGACCGTGGCCTGTAGTCATCATGCCTTGTGGACCTGTAGTCTATGTGTCTTTCCAGAGGAGGTACTTCCCACCTTGGGCCTCTCCATACTCCCATCAGACAGAAGTTTGGGGCAGTGAGTCTGCTCCTGGTATATTCTGACTTCAGGCCATGGTAACTTGCAAAGGCTGTGAGATGGACTATTTCTATTGCTTTGATATGAACAATTATTTCAACATTTCATGGTGAGGATCAGTCCTCGGATAACTTTATTTGGGGCTCATCTCCTGAATAGGGCCAAAGAGCTGCCTTTTTGGAGGGATATGGAGGGAATCTCAGGCTAGTCTTTCCTTATCTTGGAGACATACTCCCATCCGCATGTGGGCTTCTTCCAGCCCAGATTCTGGGAGAAGTCACTCGTGGCATAATGGGCATAGAGTGGGGGTAGGGCATGACCACTCAGAAGCAATCTAATTTTATAGACTTGTACCCCAGTGCCAGCCTTCAGGCTGCCAGACCTCAACTTGACACCTTATGCCTGTCAACAGCCTGGCCGATGCCTCAGCCCCAGGCCAGAGAACCCTTTTCTCAAGGTTAAAAGTAGCTGACCTTTGACAAGAAGCGTTGGCTAAATTCTGTGTTCCTTAAAAGGGAAGCCGCCAGTTTGCCAGTGCTTATTTGGCCATGGGGCAGGAACAAGCCTGTGTCGCATCCTGTGGAGACAGCGGGAGGGTTTGTGGCTAGAAGTGCTTTGGCAAAGGGTCATTATTAAAATAGCCATCTTAGAAAATATGCACAGAACAGAGGGCCATCCAGTCTGCTGGCCAGTTTATACCACAGCCCGTGTGGCCGGACAGTTCATTGGCTTTCACTACCTCCCTTTGGCTCCTTTTGCAGGTAACAGTGCCATTGGTCACACACACACACACACACACACACACACACACACACACACACACCACCCTCCGTAATGTGTGTGCAGCCAGAATGTGGACAGAATGACAAGGGCACACTGATTATTAAATGTCTGGACTTGTGTTTTTAATGTAGGGGTGACAGTCCAAAGATTGACTTGGCGGGCAGCGCACTCTCTGGCATCCTGGAGAAGGACCTCTCAGACCGCAGCAATGACATTGGTGAGTGAAGACACTGTTCTGCTTCTCTTTGGAGACTTAGAAAAGAACTGCAGGGCCTAGCTTGCCGCTTCAAGCAATGGCATGGGCTCTGTTGTGACCCCTAAAATGCTAGGCTGTCAGCCTTTGCTGGATTTTAAGTGTCCCCGCTTCACAAGGAAAGTGACGGCAATTTCTACCAGAATACAAAACACCGGGGGTTTTTAGCCTCCCTGGCCTTAGCAAAATGCCTTGTAAGTTCTAGTGAAATGATGAATGAAGGTTTTTGTAGAAATAGGGACTTACTTAGTTCATGTTTATCCAGCCTAGAAAAGGGTACAAATGCAAAATGTCAGGGTTTACTGTAAAAGTGGCACTAAGTACTTTGACTCTGATGTTAAAATGAGCTTTTTTGTGTGTATGGTAATTACCACTTAGCACAAACAAGGAACTCGCTTTCCCAAGGTCAAACCAGCGCAGCGTGAGAAATGGGAAGGGGCTAAGGTCACTTGCAATAAACAAAAGTCGAAGTCCTTTTGGGCTATATCTGGATGGATGTGAGGTGACTGGCAGTATGATCTGGTAAACAACTTTAACGATACCAAGTCTCAAGTCCAGGTCTTTTTTTTTTTTTTTTTAAGAGCAGCATCTTTTTATTTGTACCTATAAGGTAGCATCCTCCTGCATTCTATTTTAGAAGTCTACATTGCCCTTATTAATGTTTGCTTGGGAGATCATTATAGATTCACAGAGAGATTTTAGAAATGATACCTATGTTCCTCCTCCTCATCCCATGTCTTAAAATTCTAGTGCTATACTGCCCCTCATGTGTTAGCTCATTAGTCTCATTCTGATTTTCCTAGTTTTTCTGGTATCTGTATGTATGCAATTTTATTTGTGTGTATCTGCTAACATAGTCAGGGTTCCTAATACCTCTGTCACTACCAGGATTTCCCATGTTGCACACTTCTTTTTTCTTTCCTCTGTCTTTTGTTGTTGGTGGTGTTTGTTTTCTTTTTAGGTTGGGTCTCCTTATATAGTTCAGGTGTCCTAGTTTCCTTTCTAGTTGCTATGATAAAATACCCTGGCAAAGAACTACTTAAGGGAGAAGGGTTTATTTTTAGGTCACAATGCCAGGCTACAGTCCATCATTTTGGGAAGCCAAGGCAGCAAGGGACATGAAGCCGCTAATCATATCCACTCTCAAGAGCAGAGAGAATAAATGCAGGCACACTTACACTCCTCTTGTATTCTCCATGATAATACAGTTCAGGATCTCCTGCCTAGGGATTGCTGCCACCCACAGTGGGTGTGGGGGAGTTTGCCACCTCAATTATCAAGATAACACCCCCATAGACATGCCCACAAGACAACCTGATCTAAACAATACCTCTTTGAGACACTCTTCCCAGGAGATTCTAAATTTCGTCAAGTAAACAATTAAAACTAACCATAATACTGGGATAGCCTAGAACTTATGGTAATATATATTCCACACTGGCATCAAACTCAACATACTCCTGCCTTCACTTGGCCAATCCTAGGCTTACAAGCATATACCACCATGTCAGGCTGTGTTGCTCGTTTCTAACCACGCCTACCTTCCTCCAGGTCTCACCCCCAACATCTGGCAGTCATTAGTGGGACTGATTTGACACAGAAAATAGATTTCCAGAATCATCTGTGTTGGCCACTTAATTTAGAAACAAATGCCCACGAGTTGGCAGGCCTTACAGGTGCAGTAGAATGCTTGGCATGAGCAGTCTTCTTATCTGCCTGATGTTCCCCGCAAGATTGGATGCTGTTTTCTTCAGAATCTGCTAATAGAATCCCATCTTTGCAAAGTGCTGACCTGGAGTCTCTGGCCTGACCTTGTGAAACCTTGTGTGCAGGGTGCTTGGTTGTGACTGTAAATACCAAAAATGTTTGTGCTGCTTCCAGAAGCTACTTTATATCCTCAGCCAGCCTTTGAGTCATGAAGCAGAATCTGACCGTTGAAGCTGGCCGTCTACAAGCTTGGATTGAGTGAAAGAGTAGGAAGGAGCGAAACAGAGAGTAGCTGATTGAAGACCTAGATTAAGTTACGGTTCTCCCACTGTGGTCTGGTGTTCAGCCTCTGTTTTCAGCCAGAGCAACTGATTGGTGAAATACTAGTAAAGGTCACGGGTGGGACCTCACACAGGAAAGGGAGGTGTTTTTCTGTCTCTAGAATACACAGTGCTAAGTGTCTTGCTTTTCTCTGAGCACTAACCTTTGACCCTTGTTTTCTTTGGGTCTAGAGTCGTCTAGGAAGGCTATTGCCAAAGTATGACCATCGTGTTTTCTAGTCTGACCAACTAGTTTGCAAATACTGGTGGCATCAATGGGAGAAGAATTCCTCCGAGTACTTTTCTTACTGTGGAAACTAAGTCCCAGCTGTATGTATTTGGGGACCCACAGAGATGGTGCTGAGGGTTTTTCTTTCATTTTCCCAAGAAGTCGTTAATCCCAGAAGACTAACATTGCACAAGTTAACAACCTAATAGATAGATTATTTGAATTCCAGGAAATGCTGAGGGGCAGCTATATCATGAGCCAAGAAATACTGGAGCATCCACCACTCAAACACTCTCACACACAGGTCTGCCTCTGTGGATCCATAAGACACAGGCTAACAAATGACTCTGGAGATGTGAGCATGTGGCACCTAAGTAGTAGGACATAATGCTGATCGGGATGTTCCTGGGTGCCAGGGTGCCAGGACATGCTCCACAAAAGAACAGAGACTTAGCTCTATCTTGGATTTGCTTAGCCAAAGGTGGGAGCAGGCAGGGAAATCCCATGGAGAAGTTCTGAAATCTTGGCATAGATAGACCAGTCTGGCTGTAGTAGGAAGTTTCTGCGGAGAAGAGAAAGTGACTTGGAAATGTAAGTAGGGATCAAACTGAGTTTAGGGGTGGTGGATCTGTATTATCCTAGAGACAGTAGAAGCCATTGATGAGAACATTGAAGTGATGTTTCAAACCTCAAAATTTGTATACTAAATGCTGATTTAGATAAAATAAATAAATTGGATAAAAGAAAGCTAGATGCCAATAAGTTAAATGGGTTTAGTTAAGCACACTGACTTAGATATTGTCCAGACATCTGGTGTCAGTGCTGGCAAGGATCTGAAAATGAAGATGAAGGATTTAGAGGCAGGCAGTGATTGGAGGCAGAAGTTAAGCGTTCCCCATAAGCACTGTCAGGGGAGGAGATTGCAGGATTAGTGGCTCTAACCTTGCGTTGGAGTGCTGGATCTGTTGCTGCTGGCCTGAGTGGCTTCCCGTATTTAGCATCTCCACTGACTTCCTTACCTGGTGCTCCAGAATTATATCAAAATACTTGGTGGACTGCAAAAAGATAGAAATGTTTATATTAACATTGTTTGCTTAGAGGTATCTTCTGGGTTAAGAAGGTAAAGTCTAAATTTACCATAAAGAATTGGGAGGGATAGAAAAGATTGAAAGGGGGTCCTGGAGAAATGTCTCTGGGTAAAGACCTGAGTGAACCCATAGAATGAACATAGTAGCAAGCATCTGCAATCCCAGTGCTCCTCCAGCAAGATGGGAGGTAAAAATAGGAGGAGCCCCTGAAGCAGCAGCTACTCTTGTAGATACAATGGAGATCTATTGGAGATCCTCCCTCAATCAAGGTAGAAGGCAAGGACCAACACCCAAGGTTGTCCTCTGACCTTCGCATGTGTACCAAGACATGCAATTTGAGCAACCATCTGAATACTCGTGTGCATGTGTGTGTGTGTGCATGTACATACATAGTACACACACACATACCACCCTGACACAACACAAAGAGATTTAAGATGCACCTTGGGGTGAAGACCAAACCTCCACAAAATCGTACACATTCAAAGAGAAAAAAAGAATCTTGCAGCATCTCAGAAGCCAAGGGAAAAGCAATTGTTTGAGGTAGAATGTCTTTAAACCCAAAGGCAGAAATGCCATTTTCATGTGGGTTGGTCAAGGAGAAAAGGATATTTCAGGGCAGGGGTTGGCTCTTTCCAAGGCCCACTTTTGTAGGATTCCACTGCTTTGAATCAAGGAGGACAGTATTTGTACCAGAATGTTTTTGTTAATGATTCAGACAATTGAAGCTGTCCGAATGTGGGCTGCAGTGAATAGCACAATGCAGCCCTGATCATCATTAGAAACCATCAGTGTTCTCTATAAATAAATCTGTGTTTCCTCTTAATAAAGCTGTAATTTAAAATTATTATAATATTAAATTAGAGAACATGGCTTTTTCAGATCTTGTGTGGGTAGCTCTCAGTGTCTGTCAGCCAACGATAATTTAGAATGAAATCACTTGGTCCAAAACTAAGCTGTTGATGTCAGATTGAGATATTGTTTGTATCAAACTATGCAACCATTTTCAAGTAGCATAATAGAAGATATGGAAGAGCTCCAACACAGGCCTGAGCATGAATAGAAACAAAAATTAAATTGTCCGGTTCTCTCTTGGTGATGGAAGAGTCTCTGTTCTGGCTGAATGGGAGATTAGAGGCCATGAAGTTAAGTGCCATAACATTTTCTTTTATTATCCCTTATATTGTAGCTCCCCTTGCATGGTGAGATTTATTGTTACACTTTAATACAATCAAGAGATTTTCAGTTCTTTTCCTTCAGAAGCACATAATAACGGGCCTCCAGATGGGAAGCAACTTATGAACTAAGCCACCTATCTTCAACTAATTGACTTAGAGAAAGGTTTTTTCATTCCTTCCAAGTTACTTGACATCTTTGCTTTTGTTCCATTCTGTTCAAATCCACTTAAGCATCTCTTTATGCTACCACTACCCTCTTCACTTAAGGAAGGTGAGATCTTCCTGTCTTCAGTCTGAAACACATGACACTGTAGTCAATGTGGGGGCCAAGAGGTGCTGACTCTAAAGTCAGACTTGATTAAGAGGACGTGAAGGCTAACTTAAATTTATCCTCAATTTGTTCATGGATTCACCACTTACTGATGCCTGAGGACGGAGCTTC